TTGCCAGTAAACTATTGAAACTGATCACATTTTACCCTTATGACCGGTAACAACCAGTCATAAGGGTAAAATGTGAACGGTTTCAATAGTTCAATGGCAAATAGATAACGAAAAAAAGTTTAGTGACTAAATGTGAAAAAAATCGAAAGTTCGTTACCCTTTCAAGTCATTATCCCTTTAATATAAATCACTTGGGCTGCCATATTGATGTTTTATGGACAAGGTTTATGCTGATGTTCACGATGCCAAACTACACCAAATTTGGACCAAATCTAATATCCACCATTCAGATTAAAGATCAATGAGGTAGAAAGACATCCGCAAGATTTTAGTTTAATAGGACTATGTTTACTAGGGATGAACAGTTTGTCCCAAATCCCGATCCCGTACCGAAACCGGTACCGAACCGTACCGAATTTAGAAATATGGGACGATACTTGGTACTCCAAATACATGAATTTCAGGAATCGGTACCGCCGGTACCGGTACTAGTACCGAGTACTGGTCTCATTCCCGGTACCGATGATGTTAATTCAGTTCGGTACTCGGAATTAACTTTTGATCAAATTCGGTATTCGGAAAATCGGGAACGGGACGGGTCGGTACCGGTTCCGTCCCACACTCATCCCTAATGTTTACCTGTCGATCTAATCATTTGATGAAGACTACGCATTGCTGGTAAAAGTGCAAAAAAATAAATCGTTTCATTTTGGACCTTTTGGTGCTTAACCACGAATGTTGCTACGCGATTTCAAATGTGGTTGCAAAGTTTTCTATGTAATTTTGTTGGTACTAAAAAATACCATCATCCGCTTGCATATATCTGCATAAGAATAGCTTAAATGAGTAAAATTGTCTATAAACGAGCTATGTAATGTTTGAAAATATAAAAAGAACGTAAATTATGCAAAAACTAATATAACATGCATCATAAATAGAATAAAAAAGCAACATAAATCTAAAATATTAAAAGGAAATATATGCTAAATATATACAAGGTGTCATGATATGATAAAGAAAATATGCTAAAATGATGCATAAAATAAATCTAACAACGATGATCACCAACATGCTAAAATTTAACAAGTATTCTCGCTATGTTCGAGCAACATTACCTTATTGTGATGGAAGAAGTTGTTCGATATAATGATTCTTGCACACTAAATCCTTCAGAATCTCATATGCACAAGAAAAAAAAGGTATAAAATACATCATTTCCCTTAACCATATATGTATGTCTATCTCCACAAAACTTTCATTAACTCTTTAATAGTAAACGACTTGTTGTCTTAATCTCCCGTTATTCTAATCATATTGAACATGAGGCATGAATTATATTTCATATATCTATAATACATAGGTTTCTTAATTTGCGAATGTGAATAATACCACTAGACTTAATTAACCATCATTGCAATATCATCTGGATGTGGCCACACTAATAAAATACGGTCCAAAATTTTCATTTTAAATCATTAATAAAAACAATAATTACCATTCATCATCTCATAAAAGTCATAAGTAATGTATCTCAAATCATCATAACAAAATACCGTATCAAAGTCATATATAAAAATATCAGAGTAAATCATCCTAGGCTAAAAGTTGTGGTGTGTGTCATGCAGTCATCCCGAGCTCTTTCCCTTGCTACTGGAAGTACTCGAAACCAAAGTTGAAAACCGTAAGCACGAAGCTTAGTGAGTCTCCCAAAACTACCACATACCATGCACATAATCACATACTACAAACATTGGGCCTAGCTCGCACGGGCCCCACCTCGCATCGGATGAATCCGACATCAAGTCCCGTCTGGCATCGAGCCCCGCTCGGAATATATATCTATTTCTACTAGGCCCCGCCTGTCTCTGGACTCCGCCTGCTATACACATCCAAACATATAATCCTGCTAGTACATAACAATAAAACATAACACTATAACTGCTAGTCTCAAGTCCCCACCTATCTTGGGCCCCGTTCTTACTCTGCTAATAATGAGATATGAAACCCGTCCACACTCAGCTAGTGATGAGATACGGGTCCCCACCCATACTCACCTCTCTACCAGACACATACAAGTATCACAAAGACAGCAAGTATAACTAAACATGCATTCCTTCATTGGGCCCCACCAGGCATCGGATTGAAGTCCGGAAAGCTTAAACTTTCATCGGGCTTGCCCCGACATTGGATCGAAGTCTGGAACACACAACTCATAACATATAAAATAAATATTCCTCGGGCTTGCCCCGACATCAGACCGAAGTTCGGATCATGTAATCTACATCGAACTAAGCCAAACGTCAAACCGAAGTCCGACATACACTAACATACATAAACGGGCCGACATTGGTGCCTTCGACCCGCTTCTACTGGAGAAAACTCACTTCATAGCTGACTGTAGAATCCTGCGAATAGTCCTCTCACTGCTAGCTGGCAGATCCCCGAACTATTGATCACTTGACTCCCCGAGCTATCGTTACAAACATAATACTTAGTCAAGAACCGATAATCCTTCTTAGGGTAAAATGACCATTTTACCCCTGGTTAAAAGTCAAAATTAATGCTTAGTCAAAGTCAAAGTTAACACTCTGAGTTGAATCAACCAATGTTTTAAAAATCGGTTTTTTAGTTGAATCGGTACGGTGACCGGTTCCCGGTTCAACCGGTTTAACCAGTTCGACCACCGGGTGAACCGATTTCTATATTTTTCATGTTTTTTTTTCTATTTTCCTACACATACATACATATAGAAACTAGGAATTTGATGTTTACAAGTTCAAACATTAAAAATACACATAAAAATAAGTTGTAGATGAATCCAAATACATTAAAATAACATATAACAATAAGTTTTAGTGTTTTATATCAATCCATATACGTTAAAAAGAAAATAAAGTATAATACCGAAACGAAATATAGTTTTTGATGAATATAAAAACATCAAAAGAATTTATAATTTTTACCATATATTTTTACTTAGAGAAAACTAAATAGATTTGAAAAAATCATCAATGTTTATTATGTAAATAGTTTTTTTTTCATGTGTTTTTATTCGGTTTAACCGATTTTTCTAAAAACCGGCCGGTTCAATCCGGTTCAGAAATCAATATAAAACCGGTGGTAGTTGAACCGCTGTCTCTCCCGGTTCCCGGTCCAATCGGTTCAAACCGGTTTTTAAAACATTGGAATCAACTCGTCGAGTCATCTTCCTGAGTCGCCGAGTTCCTTCGCTACTCATAGACGTGGCAGAACGAGTCAACTTGTCGAGTCCTTCTTCAGACTCGCCACGTTCTGCCCTGCACAAAATCGGGAAAAATCGACTCAACTCGTCGAGTCCTTCTCTAGACTCGCCGAGTCCGTCTGTATGTTTGGGCCATCTTAACAAATTAAGCCCCTATTCTCCAGATCAAAACTCCATACTTCTTCTATATACAAAAAATGCCTTCTCAAGGGTAAAGTTTCCAACTTTACCCGCCACTAGTCTTTCTTAATGGGTTTTGCTAAAACCTTAATTCTTTAGGACATAGATATTGGTCCACAAGCTACAAATACTTCAAACTAAGGCATATTCACTGAGATCTATACTCTAAGCATTGCCATAACACGTAAAGCTTCTGCCTTTTTCCTCCATGCATGGCCTTTTGGGCTTAAAAGACCAAGATGACATCTTAGAGCTTGCATGGTGGCTCTTATGACATAAAGTTTGCACCTTTATGCCATGATAGCCCTTCAAAGTCCTAGATCTGGAAGAATACCTACTTGGTTCTTCCATTCCCCACATGCTAACATTCTTAGACCAAAAACCCTTATAAAGAGAGAAAGGAAGAGATCTAATGAACTAATGGCTAAGATAGAAACTTGATTACTAGAAAATGTAGCCAAAGAAGTGTAGTTTCTGGATCTACTCTATTCTACTTGAATCCTCTATCTTGTTCTTCTTCCACAAGCTTCAAAAGTGTACAAAGATCACACAAAATGGCCCACAACCTCAAACAAGGCACTAGGGTTTGTGGATTAGGGTTTGGATAAATGGAGGATGTAAATGAGGCAATGGGTGTGGGTTAAGGATGCTTAAATAGGGTACAAAACCCGAATTTAGGGTTTCCCAAACCCAGACCAACTCGTCGAGTAGGTCCTTCCATCCATGTCCTAATCTTGCTTCTACTCGTCGAGTCACCATCCTTGGACTTGACGAGTAGACCTTTTGACCTGGGGTTTTTCTTTCCTTAGTTGACCTTCCGGATTCCGAGTGTTACGATTTATTTCATCAAGTATTGGATCGATATCATACTCTAAAAAATATAATAACAAATCCCGTCTCGACTATAAACGTTCATTATCAAGTTTCACATCATCTATAATAGTAGCATTTATATATGTTTTTTTTCGGAAACAACTTTTAACTATATCAACACATAACGACACACTTACTCAGTTAGGGTATAACATATAAAGAATATATATTTATTCATTTTTTTACAAGATTCACTTTATGTTGATCCATTTTTTTTTACAAGATTCACTTAATAACATCGGTTTGTGAAATGAAACATTGAGATTGGGTCAATCAAACATTCATAATCAATAGAAAAAACCAATTTTCCACTGCACCTTTAGTCCAAATTGTCACGGGTTTTGCTTCGCGTCACGGATCTCTACAAATGTGTGTGTGTGTGTATATACACACACACACATTTGTAGAGATCCATGGCTTGAAGCAAAGCCCGTGACAATTTGGATTAAAGGTATAGTAAGTTACATTATCTATCATATTATAAATAATTTCTTTATTAAAAAAATGTATACTTATTGATACCCAACATGCAACTGTTCCAAAATTTTGTTAATTGGAGCCGGTCTCAAACAGTTCTATATATTATGAAAGAAACCAGAACCAGTCACGTTGGTGCGGGTTCCATAACCGATAGTTCTGGAACGGTTCCGATTCTAAAATTATCCGAACATGTAGCTCATCCTAATTATTACCATGCAAAAGAGATATGATACTTTTGAAAAGTATCTCGTAATTTTTGACAACCGATACAATTACAACAAAGTATTTTTGAAAAAAAAAAAGAAATAAAGAGGAAGATAATGAATTATGAATTTATCGTACAAAATGAAAATGTAATATTTTTATTATACAAATAATACTTCATGATGTTTCTCATTTGATGATAGAAAATAATTTTAAAGACAGACTCAAGTTAAGATTCTGAAAAAGAAAATAGATTTTAACCTTCCATCTTAAAAAAAAAAGACAATATTTGATTTTTTTTTTTTCTTTTTAGTTATATTATTTTTTTTACCGATTAAAATTACAATTCTAAAACCCTCTCCCATTTCTCTGCCGTAAACACATTCTTCTTATCCTTTGTTCTTCTCTTTTGTTCGAAGAGGAGCAGGGTATAGCTACAACGATTCCGCAAATCAGGTGATTGCTTTTCAGTCAATTACTTCCACATTCTACCATTTATCTTGTGATACTCATACATAAATCGCGAATTCTTTCTGCTCAAACGGGCATTCTTGACTGAAGTTTTCTCGTTTCATAGAAGAAAGAAGCTAAACCTGTAAGATGGATAATATGTTATATTCACCAATTTTGGGTCCTAAATATATATCTTCGAAGCCACTAGTCTCATGCTTGAACTCGATTAAAACCATTACACACTTCCGATTTACGGATTCGCGACTCCACCATGGATTTCTTCTTCCCAAAAAGAGCTGTTTTTGTGTTTCTGTTAACCTAAATAAAGACTTTCGCGTCATCAAAGTGGTCGATGATGATGACGACGATGAGGCGGTGGAGCACGATACAGCGTCTAATTTGGATTGGAAAGACGAATTTCTAGGACACATCGATCCCCCAAAAAGGAGAAAACAAAAAGAAAAATCCGAATTACTCGAAGAAACAGACACCTCAGATTGGTGCGTAAGAGCTAGAAAATCTGCTCTCAAGTCTATTCAAACTCGAGGTTTGACAAACGCCATGGAAAATCTCGTCACCAAGAAGAAAAAGAAGAAGAAGATCAAGAAGAAACTGGTTGTTAACAAGCCAAAGCCTGTTGATTTCAATTCTGATGATGAAGATGAAGATGGAGATGAAGATGTTGAACTGAACATCGAAAACCTTTTGGATGATGATAAAGATCAACTTTTAAGAAACGTGGGCATGATCGCAGGTGGAATGTTCAACGAAAGGAAAGAAAAAACAATGAAAACTTTTGCAGAAAAACTATCCCAATTTTCAGGCCCATCTGATCGAAGAAAAGAGATCAATCTAAACAGAGAAATAGTAGAAGCACAAACTGCAGATGAAGTGCTTGAAATAATCTCAGAGATGATAATGGCAGTTGGAAAAGGATTAAGTCCTTCACCTTTATCTCCATTAAACCTAGCAACAGCAATTCATCGTGTTGCTAAAAACATGGAAAAAGTCTTAATGCCAAGAACTCATAGACTTGCATTTGCAAGACGTAGAGAAATGTCTATGCTTGTGGGTATATCCATGATGAATCTTCCGGAATGTTCCGCTCAAGGCATCTCAAATATCGCGTGGGCCCTATCGAAAATCGGAGGCGATCTTCTTTACGTGTCTGAAATGGATCGAGTTGCAGAAGTTGCATTGACCAAAGTTGACCAGTTTAACTCACAAAATGTTGCTAATATCTCCGGTGCTTTTGCATCCATGCAACATTCGGCTCCAGGGTTATTTTCGGAATTATCAAAAAGAGGTTCGGATATTATCACCACTTTTCAACCACAAGAACTTGCTCAAGTGCTATGGGCTTTCGCATCGCTTTTCGAGCCTGTGGATTCGTTGCTTTCCGCTCTTGATAATGTTTACCAAAATACCCTTCAGTTTAGGTGCAAGAAAGCATCAAAAAATCTTGAACCATTGGAAGTTGAAAGCTTTCCTGTTCTTGAATTCACCAGGGACGAAATCGGAAACATATGTTGGTCGTATGCTGTTCTTGGAGAAATGAATCGGGGTTTCTTTTTCAATATTTGGAAAACACTTGAGCAATTTGAAGAGCAAAATGTTTCAGATCAATATAGGGAGGATATTATGTTTGCTACTCAAGTTTATCTTGTGAATCGGTGTTTAAAAGTTGAATACCCTCATTTGTCGTTGTGTCTTAAAACTGAAATTGAAGATAAAATAATTCGAGCTGGAAGAAGTTCACGTTTTAATCAGAAGATCACTTCTTCATTTCAAAAAGAGGTTGCGCGTCTTCTTGTTGCAACTGGTGTTGATTGGGTAAGAGAATATGTTGTGGATGGATACACTTTGGATGCTGCTTTGATTGATTTAAAACTTGCATTGGAGATCGATGGGCCCACACATTTTTCTAGAAATTTAGGTGAGTAGTATGAGTATGATATCTTTTTTCCCATTTGTCCAGATTAAGTGCTTAACCCATTAAGCCCATTAAGTAAAAAAGAAACAAATGCTTTTGTGATTTATAAACTAATAATTCTTTTAATGTTTTTTGGATACAGGAAACCCTTTAGGGCATACAGTGCTGAAAAGGCGATACCTTGAAGCTGCTGGATGGAAGGTTGTATCAGTATCTCACCAAAAAGTAAGTTATTTTATGTCCTTATATATATATATATATATATATATATATATATATATATATATATATATATATATATATATGTTGAATATAAAATAATTTTATTTTATGTTGTGAAATGTGAAGTGGGAAGAACTTGAAGGGAGTCATGAACAGCTGGATTACCTGAGAGAGATTCTTCAAAACTACACGAATTTGAAAGTGCAAGAGATATGAAGTTGGTTTTTTGTGTACAAACCATGACAATATTGTACTTTTTTGACCACATTGTACAATTTTTCATCTAATTGTCATATTTTTAAAGGTCTGTTTGTGTTCATGGTGTATTTCTTTTTTTTTTTTGTATTATCATGTATGGGTGTAGGATATATATAGTTTTTAAAGTGGATGATTTTGAAAAGTCCTTAGCTTACATAATACACATTATAAGTTTATAACACAACAAATTTTGGTATTCAAACAAAATTTAAATTTAAATTCAAATCTTTGCCTAAATTCCATGATTCCTGACTCAATGCGTCCTTTGCTTTGCACATTTCCATGAACTTTTACCTTTTATCTTCCATTTATCAACTCCAACTGGTTGACTTTTCTCTTCAATCTCTCTCACCTTACGCTTCCTGTAAAATTTTACACAAACAACCCTTCTAAATATACACCATTTCATTTCTCACCCATATTGCAAAACTAATTATTCTCACCTGTAAACTTTGAGTGATTGATCAGATAATAGCTCATCAGCTAAAGTCGCCTCCCTTTCCCTCTTTGTAAGTCTAGAGGTGAAATATTCTAAATCTACACCATTTCCTTTCCCTCTTTCAATTCAGGTGTGAGAGTAGGGGTAGGCATATCAAACTTACATACATTTCAAACATAATCATCTTTAAAAATATATTTAAATGATGTCTTAATGGATTAAGTCATGTCTACATTTGGAATGTGAACATATACATACCAACTTCCTTCTTGAGTAACTTGTTGACTTTTTTTGGGTCATTAGGTGGAACAAAAAGTCCATCAATAAGCTCTGAATTGGGCTTATATACGAGACTACTTTCATGTACATCTTGGGACCCACTTTTTGCTCCAAATAAAAGAGAAGGTAACTTTGGTTCCCATGAAAGACCGATTATTTTCTTATTATCTTCAAGCATTCTTATTTCCTATTAACAAAAACTGCATCAATAACAGTTAACAATTAACGATTTATTTCACTAGTTTAAACCGTTTTTAATTTAATAAAAATATAATCCAAAGTTGATCTTCAGTTTAAGGGATTGTCATTGCTCCATCAATAACAGTTAACAATTAACGATTTGGAAAATTTTCAGAAACGCCTACTTAAACTATGATTCTCCAAATTAACAGACCTTAACAAAATATTAATTACTAACAAGTAACAAGTACTGATGAACAAACAGATTTTCTACAGTCTAACTTAAATAATCATAACAATAGACAAAAAAAAAAAAACAATAAATAGCTAATGATTATCAATCAAATAACAAAAATAGCAGCAGGCAGGCTAGTGGTGGCAAAGCAATGGAGGCAGCAGGGCGGCAACGGGGGGAAGTGGCGAGGTGGAACAGGGCGGAGACGGAGCAGGGTAGCAGCGGGCAAAGGCGGCAAGGCGTAGACCAGAGAGTGAGGGTTGAGTGCACGATTTTTTTTTTTTTTTTTCTTTCTTCCTTCGGGCTGGGGCATCGATGTATTGGGCTATGTTAAAAAGAAAATATTTATATAAGTAATCGTCATCTTGATAAGTTTCACACGTTTTATGATTTTATTACGAATTTCAAAATTGTTTTTGTCAAAAAAAAAAAAAAAAGAAGTTGTTTTCAATTTTTCCGTTGGAATTTAAAGTTTCAATTAGTTCCGAAATTGCCTTTTTAAGAACTATTTTGAAATTTGATTTTTTTAGTAGCTGTTTCGGATTGACCAACTATGTTTTTTTTTTTTTTGCACAATACAACATTAAAATTTAAATTTACTTATTAAATTAATAATTTTGTTAACCGCAACACATTTTTGTTGGTCGATTGTTGATGTGGTAAGGAATCTCCTTATCAGATCATATTAAAAAATGACGTTCCCCTTTTACCTTTCCAGACAAACATGACAAACATCTTTGATTCCCGCTTACAAAACCCTCATGTCGTCTTCATTATCGAGCTCGCATTCCATAGGAGACGAAGAAGAGACCATCCCAGCTAATCAGCTTTTTACGGTTGTTGATATCCCAAACCCTGATTGTAATCATTAAGAGGAGACCATGTGAAGTACCACTCACCTAGTTGTAAGGTTTTGTCCCTATAGACTTTAAAATGTCATTATGCAGGGGACATTTAAGGCCTTTAAAATGCCAATATGCATGACATTTAAGGACTTAAAGATAACAACGTACTATAATCAACCCACATATGACAATAACAATATACTTTCCTTGTACAAGATATGTAAATAGCAACATTTAAGTTCTTTAAAATGCTAGATCATCAAGGCTCCCATTTGACATATATGGCTATTAAAATGCAATGTATATCACGATGAGGGTGCATCATCATGGGTTTTCCACAGGAAGACCTGAGAGGAAGTATGCTAGAGCGTAAGTCAGGTATGCCGAGTTAGTCAACATTCAGAGCCAGCCCAAGGAGTGGGCGAGCTGGGCCACTGCTCAGGGCAGCAATGAGTTGAAGGGCATCAGATTGTATATGCTTCTTATGGTATATGTTAATATATTCTGGGCCAAATTAGTGATCCACTAGAGTAAAATACGTGCAATTATAACGACGTCAACTCTAAAAATCAAATTCAATTGAGCGGCTAAAAGATACGATGCACATGTAACACCCCTAATCCAGCAGCACCAAGAAGGGAAAGGAAAACCCTAAGTCAAAGGGTCAACTCATCGAGTCCAGGGGAGAACTCGACAAGTCGGAGCGTGTCCCGTGTCGCGGATTAAGTAACCGACTCGATGAGTTGGGGAGATTGACTCGACGAGTCAGGTCTGCATTGGGAAACCCTAATTTCGGGACTTGGTGCCCTATTTAGACATCATTTCAGGCCTCCACCCCAACCTCAATCACTCCCCTCACCTACTCTCGAAACCCTAATCATCCATTGAGTGTTCTTAAGCTTTCCTTGCCATTTTTTAGTGATTTGAAGCTAGAAGAAAGAAGGAAATCCTTGGTGATTTAAGAAGAGGTAGTAGATCCAAATCTTGGGTAGCATTTCAGAACGTTTGGAGGTATAAAGCTTATGCCTTGGATGTTATTCATCTAGATCCTATTCTTAGCTTGTATTTTATCACATTTGGGCCATTCCCAAGGTTAATCCGAGTATTAAGCCTTTGAGGATGTATTGGACTTTAGATCTGGGCACTCTTGAGCTTTAGAAGCTTAGGGTTGCTAGCTTTACCCCGCCGTGGCTCCATTCCATGGCATATGCCTCCATTTTAGCTTGGATTTGGTGTTCAAGCTTCATAGCACCTTGCATGCACGTAAAGTTGGCAACTTTACGTGTAATGCTAGCTTTAGGAGTCCAGATCTACAAGTGGGAAGCAATGGAATGGACTGTAATCAACAATATGTAGATGACACAAGTGGACTCGGTGAGTCTGTTCATGGACTCAACGAGTCGGGTTGCAAACCCAAATCCCTTCTGGTTATGAGTCAGATTAGTGAGTTGAGTGGTGACTCAGTGGGTTGGACAGGACTAGGAATCGGAGATTGAAAGACTCGGCGAGTTGATTCACGAGTTGCATGGTTTCTGAGGTTATGAACTCGGCGAGTCATTAGGCTGAGTCGACGAGTAGGGTCAACCTGGAAGGTTGACTTTGACCAGGACTTTGACTTTGACCAAAGTTAACTTAGTTTGACTTCGGAAGGATAATTTAGGACTAAGTGTTATATTGGTATTGGTAGCTCGGGGAGCTAGAGGAGCAGCGGTTCGGAGAGTTATCGGATAGCACTCAGGAGGGTATCAACAGAAGCCTCAGCAGTGTAAGGCGAGTCTCCTCACTGTGTGAATGGCTCTAAGGCCACAATGTCGACCTATGTAGTTATAAGTAGGAAGACCCGAGGGTTAGCCCTAGGCGCTGTATGCTAGTATGATATTCTGGACCAAGGTCCGATGTCGGGGTTGCCCAATGAATGTTTTGCATGTTAGATTATACTTATTGTCTGTGTGATACTTGTATGTGCCCGGTAGGGAGATGGGTGTGGGCGAGGTCCCGTATCTCATCATTAGCAGAGTATGGACGGGGTTCCATACCTCTTTAGTAGCAGAGCAGGGGCGAGGCTCGAGATAGGAGAGGAGTGAGTGAGGGCACGGTCCCATATCTCATTAACAGCAGGAGCATGGATGGGGTTTCATGACTCACCAGTAGCAGGGTAGGGACGAGGCCCAAGATAGGCAAGGCCTTAGTACAGGAATTTAGTAGACTCAGTTAGCTTATGTGTTATGAATTACTTATATACTTGTATGTGTTTAGCGGGCGGGGCCTAAGAGAAACAAATCTATATACATAGTGGGGATTGAAGCCAGGCGGGGCCTGGGGTCGGATAGGGCCCGATGTAGCGGATGTGGCCCAGTGTTTGCAGTATGTGATTACGTATGGTATGTGGAAGGTTGGGGAACTCACTAAGCTTCGTGCTTACATTTTTCATGTTTGGTTTCAGGTACTTCCGGTAGCGGAGGGTAGAGCTCGGGTTGACTGCATCATACACACACACACACACACCCCAAGAAGCTTTAGCCTGGGAGGCATATACTCTGATAAAATAACATGTTTCTAGATGATACTTTGATTTAATATAATAACTTTGGTTTATGAAGGATATGATTTGTTATTATTGTTTTTGTTACTTAATTAAAAAGAAATTTTTGGGACCATATTTTGGATGTTACAACACAAGACACGATTTAATGTATGGAGAAATGCAACGTCGCAGCACGCCTAGATTGACGAGCTTCCCTCAATCCACATATCGGCTTTTGATTTAAAATCTGAGTCCCCCTCTAATTTCTTTTATTCAAGTTATCGATTCTCTTCTCTGATTTTTTTATTTCACTTCCATACATAAATTTCGTAGTGCTGCTCAACTCAAGAAACGATATTTCATGGAGATTGGTCGTGGTTTGTCCGTAGCAAGCAACAAGTCGGTACAGGGCAAGAAAATTCTTGAATATGTTTTTTCTTTACTGAGGTAATTATTCTGATTTATGATATTATTTTTCTCATTTTCTCAAATTATAAATGTTTTTTGATTTCTAAAATTTTGGTTGTAAAGCAGTGTCCCAAAGAATTTTTAATTTTTAATTATTATATATATATATATATATATATATATATATATATATATATATATATATATTAAAATTCTCCAATGTTAGCTACAGTGAAGTTGCAAAGGTTTTAGCAATTTTGGTCCTTTGTCTATGGAGCTGTTTACAATCGTTCTTAGTTTTTATAGGGGGCATTTTTTTTGCCAATATATGTATTCTTTTGTGGATATGTGACATAAAACTCGGTGTGACATAGACACATGTATTCCCTTTATAATCCACCGTTTCTCATATCCAATAACACATCACCAGGTTTTTTCATCAACGCCTCTATTTCTTTCGTATACATATAGTATCCTATTTTCCTTCTCCTATTTCTCATTTGTTCCAGAAACCTTTGATACATTGCTTCTCACAAACAAACTTCCTCCTTCACCGGTGGCTTTCGACGACACCGATGCCTCCAAAACCCACTGTCTCTCTTTAAACTCATCCAAAACCTCTACAAATTGGGATTCTTTCTTTGTTCAATTTTGTTGGATTAGTTTGGTAGCGAGCAACGACCGACGTTGGTTTTCCCTTTTTGTCTCTCCATTTATGCTCTCGGTCTGTGAATGGTGGTTACCGACCGGAAGAAGGTTGTGCTGTTGTGTTCTCTACGATTGATGGAGACCTGCTTTCATGGTACGCACGCTCTGTTGGTCATCATCTGCTATAGTATCCATCGATCCGACTTCCAGAAACAGAGGGCATCGATTCCACCTCTTCATGTTGACACCCCTATGACCTTCAGATTTAGTTAAATCCTAATGCCCAATTCCCTGTAGTTGTAAATTATTATAAGATTTTGGGTTTTTTGGGATCTCAT